GGGGGGAGGGGCAAGAAAGGGGGGTAGGGGGAGGGGAGCGTTGCGTGATCAGCATGGAAGAGAGGGGCTCTCTGAGAACTTCCTCTATTGGAGGCCTTTCCGCCAGCATTGGTACAGCCAAGAAATTGCAGGGCTGCGGCTTTATCTTTTATACTTGTCGCACAGGCAGAGCAGAATAAAGGAGAGCGTGGTTACCTGAGCGGGTAAAGAGAAGAGTGCTCACTCTGAGCATCCGACTCCAAAGGGAAGAAATCTCGCCAAGGATCATTTGGTGACGAGGATTGACGGAGGTGCAGATGAGCAAATAAATTAGGGCATGGTATTGATGTATTAGAATAATAATCATCTCCAGCGCTCTGTCAATATACAGCAGAATGGGGGATCCCCACGTCGTGTTCGTCACGCAGAGTTGTTTGTCCATACTTCACCATGCCGGTCAGCGTGGGTTGGTGGAGGTCGAGGGGTCGGGCCCGGCTTGATGTTCGCCGTGACAGGGAATCTAAGCGTGGGTCGCCGGTTCAGAGCGCAGCGCGCTATAACCACTGTGCCACCGCTCCATGATTTGATGCATTGTTCATTCCTGTAATTGTTCTCGCGTATTGTTTCCAGATTGTTTATGGGCAATCAGTAGCAATGCATAACGATTGGCATGACGTGGCAGTCAGTCAGCAGTGGATAGAGGATGATGGTTATTAAAACGGTGATGAGCAATGAGTAATTAAATACCTGATGATGATGATAACACAAGCATGGTCACGATTATGATGTCATTCTACCATCTGTTACAATAATGGCTTTTAAGATCATTCATGACGGCGATGCTGATAATGATGACGAGTTTGATACAGGCGACGAGGACAAGAAGCATCACCGCGTGATCATACCCGGTGATCTGACGCTGATGTAATAACTGAATTATGATTTCACCTTGATGATGATGATGATGGCTTGGATGATTATGACGATAAGGATATTGATTATAATGCATTTTACAATGATCATGAAGTGGAGGAGTTTATGACGACGATGATTGATGGCTTTGGTGGGGATTTGTTTAACGATGGCGGTGATGATGCTTACGCATCCATCCCCAGCAATGGGGGTCTGCGTTTAAATTCAAGAACCGATTCCTTGCGGTCCCCGTGCTTCCCGTCACATCTGCATTATCTCTCATTTTGTGTGGCTTATTCAGTGTTGTCGTCCTCTGTGGTATCATGTATGGCGAGCATCACACTCAAATCAACGCATTCTTATTACGAATATGAGCCAGGAATGTGTGTCACGCGCGTGACGTCACTCCACGTGAGGCCCACCCCACCCCCGCGTGACGTCACTCCACATGAGGCCCACCCCCCCGCGTGACGTCACTCCACATGAGGCCCACTCCCCGCGTGACGTCACTCCGCATGAGGCCCACTCCCCGTCATTAATATTCACGAGTGGGTGAGATTTTTACACCGACGCAGAGGAAGGTCGTGCAAAATTAAATAATTTATTACGCAAAGTCGCTTAAAATATGACGTCTCTTTACAGAAAGTGACGGTAAAATATAAATCTACGCTGCACAGTGATACATTCGTACGTGACGTCACTGCAAAAGAGCCCCCCCCCCCCCTTCGTTAATGTTCATGTCCGCATGGAAATTTACACTAGTGCACTCCACATGCCGCACCCCTCCCCTCATTAATAATCATGAGCGGGTGACGTCACTCCACATACCGCACCCCTTCACAATTACCATTAACGGGTGACGTCACTTCACATGGGGCAACACCCCCCCCCCCCCCTCATTAATAATCATGAGCTGAAGAATTTTTCTATTGAATATTTCAGATTTACTGCAATATCCTGCCGTCCTTGGACGGGCAAACAAGCTAGTAAGTCTATGAGTTATACTGATAGAAACCTCCTGGTTACACCAGCCCATAGGGGATTATTGTGGCCGTCGTGCAGGGAGGGGCTGGGTGGGGAGGGAGGGGCTGGGTGGGAGGGGAGGGTGAGGAGGGGCTGGGTGGGGAGGGGAGGGGCTGGGTGGAGAGGGAGGGGAGGGGCTGGGTGGGGAGGGTGGGGAGGGGCTGGGTGGGGATGGTGGGGTGGGGCTGGGTGGGGGGTGGGAGGGGTGGGGCTGGGTGGGGAGGGGCTGGTCACCCCGTGGTGCCCTTATAAAACTCAACGTTTAACATACTCACGCCGGCTTGTGCCCGCCCTCACAGTCGGGCATATTTGCGGAATACACCACGCCGCCGTTGATCCTGGCCATTGACGGAGCAACCCAACGTTCCTACCACCTCCCTCCGCAGGAATGTGTTGTGTTCTCTCTCTGCCTACTCCTGTCTTTTTCTCTCTCTGTCTCTCTCTCACTCGTGCCCGCTTGGTCTCTGCTCCCTGGGTCACAGAAGGCGATCGTCACGGTCACGTGAGCGCGCGCGACCGTCATTCGGAGGATGACGCTCCGACAGTCGTTGGCATCTTGGCGTCGTTTTGTCGAACACAAAACAAGTCTGACGATGACCATGCCGACGGTGCGTGGTAGACGCAGACGAACGCTACAACAATTCGACGCGCAGGCTTTCGCGACCCATATTATTTTCAGATTAACATGTAAGACCCCAAAACAGGAAGACTTCATCACAATTCTGGCAAATCGCCTGATGAAGCTGGTTGTAACCACGAGCGAAACGTCGCGGTTCACGAACTGTAAATGTTGCGTGTTTAAGCTCCAACACAACCCGGTGGTGCTGAACTCGCAACTAATTTGTACGTTTTGTTCACCTGACAAACCTTAGGGGCCGTCCATAAATGACGTCACGTGATTTTGGACGATTTTTGTCCCCCCCCCCCCCCTTTGTCACACGGCGTCACAAAAAGTCAGACCCCCCCCCCTCAAATATGACATCACAAAGCTCTGCCCCCCCCCCAAAAACATGCTTCAAATCGCTTTAAACTATTGTCATTGTAGTGCGTATTTAATGTGGCGCTGCACTCTGATGTTGTAGGAGAAAACATTTATTAAAAGTCTAGTTAATTAAGTAGAACGTGTTGTCTATATTTATTTAAAGTTGCGCATTTTGATGTGACGTCACATTTATCACCCCCCCCCCCCCCCCCTAGTCACACATCGTCACAAATGTCTGCCCCCCCCCCCCCCCCGGACGGCTCCTTACTAAATGGCTGCGCCGTGTGATGGTGGGTTAACGACACATCTTTTTTTTTTACATCGACGCGATCTAACCCAACCGTAATGCCGTGACAATCGACGCACCAAATCCTCTCCCAGCAACAATTCCCCCTTGTGCCGAGCTCGGCTCCACCCTGGCAAGCGGCGTCGCGGCAAGGAACGTCCGGGCTGAGACGGACCAACCACCGAATGTGTGGCGAGCATCAGACTCAGGCCAAATGGACCTTTCCCAAATGGGGAATATGCGGGCGGGGGGGGGGGGCGAGCCAAACGCCAGCTGCACTTGGCTTTCTTTGTTGTTGTTAACGGGATCGCTCCGTACGAGAGTATTCATTAAAACGTCCGAGGAGTCGGTGCAAATGAGCCTGCGTGTGGATTAGCATAAGGGAAGGGTTTATGTTGCTGTGTGTGCGTGCACGAGCAAACTGCGGAGCAGTGGTGCGATGGTTCGTGTGCTGCTGCTGTTGCTATGAAGCTGCTCATCCAGGTACAATTCCTGGAAGCGTTGTTCACTGCAGGGGTTTGCTCTTTAATCTTCCAATGACTTCCAACGCATGAGCTCTTTCCATCTGTCCGTACATAACGTGGATCACTTTAATTCTCGCGAAGCTAATCTCGTATGAACGAAACTTTGGAAAACTGGCCACATTTATCAAAGAGTTTTGCTCAAACTTTGCAAACTTAACCCACCAATGAAAAGAACAACAGTATTGGCTGCTCTGCGTTTCCACGCGACGATTAACCACTTACATTTCGATTTAAAGCTTTCGTGACTGCAGGGATTCATCTTCTTGGTTATTTCGGTAAAGTCACGTAACTTTACCGAAATAACCAAAAAGATTAACCACTTTGTTGAGCTACCATTCGCGGCCAGGTCGCTTCTGAAAAACAGCTGTATGGCTCAGTGGGCCTCACCTGGCAAACTAAAATAGTGAATCGTAGTAGTTAAGTGACTGTGTGTGTGTCTGAGAGATTGCTGGGAATTATCATCCGCTACTCTCCTTAGTTGAACTGCGTGAAGGCCCATCGTGAGTCATTGTTTATGGCCCTTATAACATGTAACCGTGTGGGAGAGCTCATTGAAAGGCATTTATTGATGTATTTAGCCATGTGGGAGCTTGTAGAGTGATTAACCACCAAATTGTTAGTTTTTTTTTTCTTCATTTCAAGCTTGTAAGACAATTGGTAACGTGACTGGAAGGTGTTACCTACACCTCTGGGCCTCCCCTAGGTCAGCTCAGCCTTAACGTTAACACCTCGTGCAATGTGTTACTGCTCGCGGTGGAGAGAGAAAGGTGGCCATGCCTGGCGCTGGCAACAGCTCCGCTTTCATGTTCATAGTTTATAGTTTAGTTCAGGGGTTCTTAACCTGGGGTGCACGCTGCATCCGCTGGGGGTGCGAGATGCCCTTTCTGGGGGTGCGAGACGTGGCCAGGTTTCTTTAGAAGGTGAATCATCGACAACACAAACTAAGCACGGACACGTAAGTACAACTACTTTGTTTCATCAAACCTGTGCATTTATTATCATTGTCAACATTTTTTTTTACGATTGAGAACCAAAGGGTTGCATGCTGCAGTAAAGGTTTAGAACCACTGGTTTAGTTTCATGTGCCGTGCCAGCCTAACAGAGCTCGCAGATGCAATACAATCTGTGCGACTGAATTGGGGTACGTTGATCTGTTTGGGCTCCCAAAATCTCCTTTGCCATGAGAATGAATAATACCATTTTTGCGACATCGACAAACCGGGGTAAATTAAACAGACACGGGAGTGAACTGGTGTGGTGGTGGGAGTCGTCGCAGCAGTTAGTTCGCACTCACCATTGCGGGCGACTGGTGGACTTGACAACCGGCGTCATCCCGTCTCTGTACAGGCTCCTGGTCTTGCTGAAGTTCACGAGGTTGAAAATCGCGCGCTGCGCTCACAACAGCATTCAAGTGTGTGGGGGGGGGGGGCACGAAACGTCAGTAAAGTACCGCCATCAAGTTCCATTCGCAAAATAAACTTTCTTCGGTGAACATGTCGGTCGCAATGAAAAGTGTTCTCCATGACCAAACGAGCGTTGGCATTGACCCACATCAGCATCAATCATCACCACCATCCACCACTACCAGCAGCACCAAGGACCTGCACGTTGACAGCCCTTGGACCAGTGGTGTAAATTACACGTTTCCATGGCTTTGACAGTTGATGTTCACCGCACTGTTTCGTCCGTTGTATGTATGTTGAACCTCTTTCGCACCGTACGTAGCTAACCCTCGCTAATCAGAGATGCGGGGTAAGGACGATAAAACTAAACGCAAACAATAGTTCTACAGAATGAGTTGTCAATATAGACGATTTAATAGTGGACAGCTCCAGTGGCTTCCCAATATCGGAAGAGCGTTCCAGACGGCCAAAGAAGCGCATCTGAAAGCGCCACGCGTGACCACGTGTGGAGCACGTGGCACTCCTGCACATGGTAAGATAAAAAAATATATAATTGTTTTATTTGTATATTTTAAAGTTCTTTGATTACCTTTCCTATACTTTGCACTCATATCGTGTTGTTGTGTATTTGTTGTTGTTGACACGTTCTGACCCCATGCCCCTAGTGGACATCTGTGCAAAAAGAGCTTCATAGCTCATCGGATTTCTCCAGCCTAAAGAAATATTCTGAATCTGAACTGCACACACGTGACACTGCCAGTCACTCTGCGGCATCGTCTACGCACGAACTTGTTCGCCCAGTCGCCTTTGTCTCACCGGCGCTGATGGTGACAATCGGGACTGAGGCCCAGAGGAGGCCCAGAACCGATGTAGATGTCGCCCGCCACGGGTGTTAGTCGTGGTCAGAAATTGGAACTCAGAAGGTCGGGAGCACAGGGTAGTGTGCCTACCACGACATCACCACTTGCAACAGCGCACACAACACAAACAAAACACACACACACAACACACACAAAACACACACACAACACACATAACACACAACACACTAACAACACACATACCACACACAACACACACACAACACACGCAATACACACACAACACATACAAACACATACACAACACACACAAACACACAAATAACACACACACAACACACACACAACACACAGACACACACAACACACACACCACAGAAACACACACAACACACACATACAAACCACATGCACAACACACACACAACACACACAACACACAGCACACACAACACACACATAGGCCGTTGAGGCGTGCATTGTTAGCAAGCCCGACCGTGGCCAGCACCAGTGGAAAGTGAAACCTGAACAGGTCCCAATCTCGACTCAGCGTCACATCGACACAGCGCGTGGGGTGTGAACCACTGCGCTTGGGAGACAAAGGCAGCCGGGTGGAGTCCAGCTCACGCAACACCACACACACACACACATATACAGACAAATATCCCAGTATAGCCTGAGCAGACTGTTGGGGCAAGTGCTGTTAGCGAGCACCTATGAAGGCCGGCACAGCACACGAGTGGGTGAGTGGCCAGCACTACGTCCGACCGCCTTTGTCTCCCCAGGGGCGATGTTTACACACCGCACCAGGTATTCATTCAAGGCTGAGTTGACCTAGGGGAGGCCCAGGACCGGTTCACATAATCGTCACTGGTGAACTCTGATCGCCAGGTTCGTCGCGCAGGGCGCTAACCACTACACTACCGCTTCCCCACACTATCCATGCGTACAAACACACCACGTGCACCCACCACACGACATACGCGCATTAAGATTCAGCAGTGGATTCTGGGGAGCTGACCGTAACGATCGCGAGCTCATTAATACGTACGTTGTGGTATATCAAGCGAATGGTGGATAACGCATCTGCTGTTGGCGAGCGAGCGAGCGAGGGATCGAGCGGAGGGGCTCCCCCAGTTTCCCCGTCGCGACTCCACGCGCCACACCAGACACCAGCCGGGGCTTGACATCGCCAGCCATCGGTGGACACGACGGCCGTGACCCATTCCCCGCTGTTATGCGTGTTGAACTTCTTTAGCACCGTACGTAGCCAACCGTGCTAATCGGGGACGGACAATAAACTTAAAACACAAAACAACAGTTCCAAAGAAATGCGTTTTAAAGCTAGATTTAAACGTGCTTAGCTCCCAGTTGTTCCTTAATATCGGAGGGAAGAGCATTCCAGACGGCCGCAACATCGCAGCTTAAGACGGCTCGCCGATGCAGTGAAAGATGCGTGACAGGTGACGCTGACATCTCTACGTGGTTAGGTTCAATCCGCAGGCAGACTCAATCCATCGTCTTACAATGTTGTTACATTGATTTTAGATTTCGTAAATGCATCCCATTACAAAATCCTGGGCGATAAGTTATCCTTGCACGTGCGCTGAACTTCTTTCGCACCGCACGTAGCCAACCGTGCTGATCGGAGATGCGGGGGAAGGACAGCAAACTAAACACAAAAAGCAGTTTTTAAGAAATTAGTTTTGCAATCTAGATGTAAAAGTGCGTAGCTCCAGTGGCTTCCGAATATCGGAATATCGATTGCGCCGTCGGGAGCCGCTCCGGCCACCAGCTGTCAGCATCGGGACACCGCTAGCCACGTCTGGTTATCGATGCCGAGATCCGGACACCGGACATAATACATCGAGATGTCGATAACGCTGTTGAGATTCTAACGACCGCTGTACAAAGAAGGCCCCTCGTCCAGCATTGACGTGCCAAAGGGATGTGCATATGCAATAAATAATAATACTGACACCAACACTAATGTTACTCTTTGGTTTTTTCGGTAAAGTCACGTAGGTAAAAAAATAAAAATAAATAAATCACGACGTTTCGGGCGCAACACAAGCGTCCTTCTTCAGGTGGGGACAACTTAGCGAAAGCATGAAACGTCGTGATTTAATTAATTTAAGTTTTTTACCGACGTGACTTTACCGAAATAACCAAAGTGTATGAATCCTTGCAGTCACGAAAACTTCAAATCTAGAACACTAATGTTATTTATCTATTCAGTAAATGTATGTTACACTTCTTTCGCGACATAAGTAGCCAAACCGTGCTCATCAAGATCTTTCCAGACTATCGCACACGACGTGGTGACACCTCAACAATCCGCACACGCGGGGCAGGAACCTTCTTGCTGTGCTGCCATCTTCGGGTCACTTTGGAGCCCCTGCCGGATTGGGACTTTCACGAACAAAGTGCCACCACGCCTGGCCACAATATCGCCTTCCCCGTCTTAATCCAGAGGTCCCACTCCTGCATGGGTTTGGCAGCCCTACATGTTCTCTCTCCGTGTGCGCAGAGATCCGCGGACTTACTCAGAGACCCATCGGCTCACATACACTTACACGGTAGATACATAGACATCGAGATCAATAGAATTACATAGAACACCATATTCATCGATAGCACTGCCTTAAAATGAACAAATATGTATATATCAGAATAAGAATATGTATTCATACTGGAGGAACCCGATGGGCTACAAAGCTCTTTGTCACATATGTGACATTCCGGGCAATGGACCTTCCTCGTAGCACTGATGTGTTACAGACAGATGTGTTGAGGGTTTTGTTAATTGTGTTCTGCACGACTGCCAATGCAGCATCACAAAATAAGCTGCTTACTTTTGTAGAACCCACGTCCACTTTTATAGGCAACCATAAACTAACATACACTTAACTTGGTCCATGGGGATTTACATAGAACACTGTAGACTTACATAGAGAACCACAGATTTGCTTTCGCGATTCATAGACTTCCACGTTGATCCATAATGCTCTTTGATATTCTTGCACGAGGTCAGTGGCGTTGGCTTTCTGCCGCCATGTGACTTTTCTAACCCTCTGCCTCTTCTCTCGTCACATCCGCTGAACCCCGCAGAGAAAGTTGATCTCGAGAATGTCAGATGCGTGACGACGAAACTTGACGTTGGGTCTCAGGATGTTAACCACCTCGCCCGGTATGCAGGAGGTCGTGGGTTCAATCCAGACCCTGACGCCTGCTGTATATTTGGAGTTTTCGTGTCTCTCTCCCAGTGGATGTTTCTCTGGGTCCTCCGAGTTTTGTTCCTCCACATATAGAATCAATATTTCTTTAGAGTATTTGGCTGCTATACATTTCCCCGTGATGATGCACCACTTGGTCGACCTATGATTTGAGATGGCTAGGATCGCTTCTGCAAAAGAGCAATATGTAGCTCAGTGGGGCCTTACCTGGTAAAAAAAATATAATGTAAAAAAGCACGGTAAGATTTAGTTGAGAAAATGTGACAGCCACACTCTAACGTGGTTGTGATGTCTGGATCTCAACAGGGGGTCGGTGGCCCCAGCTGGCTCCACCGGAGGGCAAGCATCCAAACTCGACAAAGTCAATCGCTTTTATTGTCACACATCTGGCTGGAAGGGGTGGGGGCGAGGGGGGCGAGCGGTAGCAATGATGGCGCGAATACTGCACTGTGAACCTAGCCCACCTGAGTTCGATTCCCGTTAGAGCCGTTCCCGAGGAGTAGACGGGGAATCAGGACGACCGCCCTGGGCCCCGTGCTTTGGGGGGACGGGCGGGGCTGCGCTTCGATGTCACGGTGTTAGATGTAATGCTTCCGGTGTAATTTGAAGGCGTCGGGGGTGGAGGGGGGGGGGCACACGGTGTGGAAGTTGCCCCAGGACCCTTACCCCCGCAGTAGAGGGCCTTAATTCCAGGGCACGGCTAACATCAGTGGCTAGCTCGGTGGGGCCAGCGATATACATGCGTGCTGCCCTCGCCCCCCCCACCACCCTATGCTCGTGTGAGTCTGCAGGCACACCACTTGTGACACTGACCATATTCGCAAATGTGGTTGAAATATTTAGAACCCCACTTGATTGCTATATTAGAACCGGGAGTGAAGCGGTGACCCAGCAGTTAAGGGCACTGCCGCTACGAACCCGAGTGACGC